AGTCTGCCGCTCGGCAAAGGACGGAAGAACTAGGGGCCCCGGGCAGAAAGAGCACCCTAGGCCTACCTCACCAAGCTGAACCCTGAAGACTTCCAGCGTGGCGCTTCCTCCTGGCTTCTCAACAGCCTGCTCCCCAACTTCAGCCCTCTGCACCACACCTGCCCCCTTTCGCCTGTTGGCCTCGCTGCGGGGGATTCAATATCCCAGCAGAGAAACGAGGGTGTGACAGCTGTCTGTGCAGCCAGCAGCCGCATTTCATTAACCCGCGGCTGGAGAGGGCCAGAGGTGGTGGCAGGGGCGAGGGGAGGGGTTGCCAGCCCAAAGGGAGGTGGAGAGAGTGCCTTCTGTGGATAGGGGCGCAGAGCACTGGGGAGCCAGGAGCTGCCAGCGGGGTTTTGAACCCAAGGCTGTCTGGGGCGCGAGGCCAAGGGGACTGACTAGCTGATGAGTGGAAAGCCCGCCTTGGCGGCTTGCAAGGGCCCTCTGAGCCTTCGATGCAGGCACATGGTCTCCAAAATAACGTGAAATGCATAAAATGAGCAGGTCCAGCTTTTCGGGGATCAGTCACAGAGGGAGAGAGCAGTCTTCCCTTTTTGGGGTAAGCAAAATTTCCCCTAGCTTACCTGGCTTTTCATCCCCTCCTTTTCCCGCGCCCCCTCAGATATCTGAACCATTCTACCTAGCTACCTTTGGCCTTCCGCTGGCCAGTGTTTGAACCTTGGTGGTGTCAGAGCTGACAGCTGGGGCAGAGGTTGGGCGTGTGATGTAAAAGCCTGGCGGAGGTTGTGGAAGCGAGGACTACTGTGCGCTTCAACCTGTAGACTGTTATTTTCCTGCAAACACCTCGCTGCCTGCTCCTGTCTGGCTGCTCTTACCCTTGCCCTGCCTCTCGTGCTCTTGTCTCTTTTCCAAGCCCTGGGAAGGAAGCCGAGGCATCCAAACTCCCATTCTAAGAAAAACCCTCCTCCCCACGAGGAACATCTCCATACAAGGTGATAACTGGACAAATGGCTTCCCAGTTCTGGACCCCAGTGTCCTCACCTTTTGCAGACAGAGATAAAGCAGCCATCTCTGCTGCCGTCGTCTCTCTGGGCTTCGGAAAGGATCCAATGAGGACTTGCATGGACACAGCCCTCTAACGAAATCAGCTTCTCATGATGTTGACTCCAGTCCCATGCAGTGAATGCCCTGTGCTCAAAGATGAACGAAGCTCTCTCCTTTGTATACAGGGGTCTAATGCCAGGCACCCAAGCTGCTAGCTTCAGTGTCCTCTAAAACAGAACTGAAAGCCAGAGCCTGTGTGTGTGTGTGTGTGTGTGTGTGTGTGTGTGTGTGTGTGATCACTTTCTTCCGGTCCTGAAGAGGAGGAAAGGAAGGGGTTCTTAGATATTGAGGGAACACCAGCCAGATGCGCTCTCTCTGTCTCTGTCTCTCTCTCTCTCTCTCTCTCTCTCTCTCTCAGATGAGGAAACTGAGGATTGTACAAGCCATGGAAGCCACACTTCTGGCCTCCCACCCTCTCTCTGTTGCTGACCTCCTCACCCCCGTTCTTCCCTAGAGGGCAGCTGGATCAGTGACAGTAAGTATGAAAGAAAGAACAAAAAGAAAACACCTTCAAGGAGCCAGGACCTTTCTGCTAGACTTCATAAAAATTTAACAGGAAAACTTCTGCAGAGTAGAAGGCACAGAACACATGCAAATCATATGCTAATCGCATGCTAATCTAAAGTCTAGCCCTTAGAGCTCTGCCACACACCTGGTCTAATGCCTTGGGGAAAATTCTGGGGAAACCCCTGGGTTCCAGGAAGGTGAGGATTCCCCGTGGAGTCCTGTTGTGGAATTTAGGTTCATTTTAGGATTGAAGTTAAGTGTGTAACTTGGGATTAGGGTGAGCGTGAGTGCGGTCATGGGTGAAGGTTAGTGCAGGATTCAGACTGGGCTGAGCTTGGAAGTCACCTCTCTTCTTTCCCACCAGAGGCACCATGCTTTTGTTGCACCCCTGGCTGCCTGCCTCCCATTCTCAGGTTCATTGCTTCCCTGGGACCTCCTAGCCTGATCCCCAGAGAAGCTCGGGTGAACTGTCCCTGACCCCTCCCCGTTCCAGCCTCCCCTCATTGGTTTTGGCCCCAGGAAGACCTGCTGGTCTTAGCCCTAACTAGATCTTTCCTTGGACAAAAGTGACAGCTGGAGGGGAAGCTATGAGGAGGACCTGGTGAGCTGGCAGCTTCATTCCAGAGTGTGGGGAAAGAGCAACAGAACATGAATAAATTCATAGAGCTGGCCCCTTGGCTCCCTGAGAGCCAAGCCTGCTCCCCCCAACACACACACACACACACACACACACACACACACACACCAAACACAACCGATGCTGCCTGCAGCCGGTTGGTCACCCCCGCTCAAGGCCCGCGCTGAGGATAGCAGAGGAGATGCTCTAGAGAAGAAACCTGGCATCTGACAGGGGCTAAGGTGAGGGGACTAAAACAGGGGTGGGGGGTGTCGGGAGCTAGGGGGAGCAGCCAGAGGAAGAGCTGGGCCGCTGCTGAGTGGAGGGAGGGGAGCGTGGGGAGGAAGAAGAGGGGTGTCGGACACAGGGTGGAGGAGGCCTGGGGCTCTGAGGAGAGACTGGTGTGACTTGCTTCCTCTGATCCATCCATCATGCAGCCTGGGGGAGCAGATCCGGAATTAGACGCACACAGAGCCGACATGGCCCTCAGCCCCCTGAGGAAGACAAATGGTGACAAAGACCTTGAATAAAATTTGTATTTATGGTTGGAGGAGGAGACCCCTCCCCCACTGGCTGCCAATCCTTTCTCTTCCAATCCTCTCTGGCAGGTGGGGACTTCACCCTGCTCCCAGCAAGGGCCTAGCCCCAGCCCCAGCTCCAGCTTGAGAATGGTGTCACAGGGGGGCCAAAGAAGGACTACAGAAAGATGGAGAGACCACCGTTTCTGACCAACAACTGCGCGCCGGTGTGCTATGCCCTGCGCCCTCTGTTTTGCACAAACAGATTTACACAGCACAGCCTTGGCTTACCCCACTCTCCAAGAGGCCTTTGCTGCCACCTCTATGGCTAGGTCTCCAAACGCCCCTAGCTCTTCAGTCCTAATCCCACCCTCCCAGCTTCTGACCTCCCTTGAGAAGATGCAGCTACCAGCTGGCTTTTTCTCTGCACTGTGATGACAGCCGGTACTCCTTGGTCACTCTGAAAACAGACACAGTCACCCAATACCTAATCCACACTTGTTACTATGCATAATCAACCAAAAGTATCCATTATCTGCGGCCTTATTTCTCTAGTAGCAAACAACTGGGGAGGTCGGGAGGAGCCAAGACTTGTGGGGCTGATGAAGAGATGAAGACTGGGCTAGGACAAGAAGGGGGTTGTGCCAGTCTGGGCAGGGCAAGTGAGGCTAGCCTCTTTCTCACCGGGGGATTCCATGCGCTTCAGTCCTGAGACAGGGTAGCCGGCTTCTGTGGGTCTCAGCTTGTAAGACTAAGACAGAGACATACAAACACCCTCTTCCAGCAGCTCAGACAAGTGTACACAAAGACAGCCCACGATTCACAGTCCTACTCACCCCGGCACAGCAAGGCCAGGCTCTTCTGGCCACCCCACCACACACACACAGAATCCAGCACGGCCACAGACACAGACCCACAGCCTACCCCTCGGCTTGCAGGACCGCCCCGCCCCCGCGTCTTCCTCACAGTTGATATGTCACATTGGAGTCCGAACACGGACCTGCGTGTCTCTCTGCAGCGCGCCATTTACATTTCTCTCTCGATCTGTCAACCTGTCTGGGCTCCCTTCTCTCTCCCTCTGTCTCTGTCTCTCCCTCTCCCGCTCTGGGGCCGTCAGTCTCTTTTTGAAGCTTTGTCTCTCTGTCTCTGTCTCTGATTTCTCGTCAGTATGTTTCCTGCACATTCCTCTCTCTCTCTCCTCTCTCTCCTGCTTCTGCTGCTATGAGACACCCCCCCAGACCCCCCAATCATAGAGGCCAGGGTCGGGGCGGTAGGAGATTTGCCTTTTCCCGTTCTGGTGAACACAACAAGAACTGGTGGGCCGCTTTGCCATAGTCAGTGTTTGGTTAGGGGCACCGAGGGGCCGTGCTGGCGAACTGCTCCTTCCTGCTGTTTTCTGTTTAGTACGCGAGTCCCCCTCGCCCCTCGTTCGGCTCCGCGGCCCCCCTCTGAGGTCTCATCTGCCTGTTACAGCCTGACCTCTGTTTGCCCCTCCACTGAGTCCGTCTTCCTCTAACCTCTGGGACCGCCGAACGCCAGGTACAGGAGGGAAGTGAGGGTGCCTGCGGCGAGGGCTGGGGATCGCTGCAGAGCGCTGGGAGCGGGCGAGGGACCCGGAGGCCCGGGGCGGCGGGGAGGGGAGGCGGCGCGCCGGCCCCGCCCCCGCGCTCCCCGCTCCGGGCGCCAGGGGTCGCTCCGCCCGCGGCCGCTTATAGCGGCTCCCGCCGCGCGGCGCCTCCCAGCGCCCGCCCCGCTGCCAGGGAGGAAGGCTCGGACGCGGAGGGGAGCGCTCGCGGGAGAGGGGCGCCGGCCGGGGCGAGGGCGAGCGCCGGGGCCACGGCCGCCGGGGCAGGCGGGCGGCCGGTCCACAAAGTCCCCGGCCGGGTCGCGGCCGGCGACAGCCTCACCCCTCCCGCCCAGCACCCAGCACCCAGAGCCCGGGACGTCGGGAGAGCCGGGGTCGGTCCGCGGTCCAGCCGGGAGCAGCCGCGAGGGGAGCCGGGACGCGGACTCCGCCAGGCGAGCAAGCACCAGTCCGGAGAGCGGGCACCCCGGACCCGGAGGGCGCGGCCGTCCGCCCCGGGCCGCCAGGGCTGCACCCGGGGGTGAGCGCACACCGCGGCCTCTGAGCCCCCCGGGCGCCGCCACCCTGACCGGCGGCGTGGGCGCGGGCGCCGCCGCCACAGGAGGAACTCGCCGGGGCGAGGTGGTGGGGCACGGCCGTCGGGAGGTCCGGAGCGGGGCCCGAGCGCGCGGGGAGCCCCGGGCCTCCGTCGCCATTGCTCCCAAAAGTGAGGAGGATTTGCTGGCCCTGGCCGCGTCACGGCTGAGCCGCCGCAAGCGGGTGGCGGGCGCGGCCGTCGGGGTGGCCATGGTGCTGCTGCTGCTGGTGGCCATCCCGCTCCTGGTGCACAGCTCTCGCGGACCCACCCACTACGAGATGCTGGGTCGCTGTCGCATGGTGTGCGACCCCCACGCGCCCCGAGGCCAGGGCTCCGACGGCGCGCCCGCCTCGGCGCCTCCCTTCCCTCCAGGCGCCAAGGGAGAGGTGGGCCGGCGAGGCAAGGCCGGCCTGCGGGGGCCCCCCGGACCCCCAGGGCCCAGAGGGCCCCCCGGAGAGCCAGGCCGGCCGGGGCCCCCGGGCCCCCCGGGGCCAGGCCCCGGCGGGGCAGCGCCCCCTGCGGGCTACGTCCCCCGCATCGCCTTCTACGCGGGCCTTCGGCGGCCTCACGAGGGTTACGAGGTGCTTCGCTTCGACGACGTGGTCACCAACGTAGGCAACGCCTACGAGGCGGCCAGCGGCAAGTTCACCTGCCCCATGCCCGGCGTCTACTTCTTCGCCTACCACGTGCTCATGCGCGGAGGCGACGGCACCAGCATGTGGGCTGACCTGATGAAGAACGGACAGGTGAGGCCGCCCCCCTGCCCAGCCCTCGCCCATGACTTCCTAAAAGTCCCTGCGCTCGGCTTAGAACCCAGCTCCCCTTCACCCTCCCGAAACACTCCCAGGGTAGCCAAGAACAGAGGAGGAATCGGGGGTCTGGTAAAGAAAAGCGTCTGTGGAAAGTCTCACGGGGCACTAGAATGTCAGGACTAGAACTCAGGACTCAGGGCATACTGTCTGTGCAGCGGCACGCTCACACCCCAACCTCCAACCGCTCACACCCCAACCTCCAACCGTAGCTCACCAGATCAAATGTCCCTGGTGCCTTGCCCACCCCCACCCCCCCAGCTTCTTCTCCCTTCCTGCCTTGAGCAGCCTCTCTCCTGGGCCAATCCTCTCCATCAGTGGATTTCCCAGCCCTGGCATGGAGCGAGCCATTAGAGAATCTAGTTCCAAGGAATTGGAATGTTATTTCTTGTTTTGGGTAGTGGCGGACTTCGCTCAGGTGAAGTCTTCAGCTTGGGTTTTCAAACAAAAGGGGGGGGGGAAGAAAACAGTAGCTTGCCCATTTGCTAGGTCCTAGTTGTTGGTCCCAGGGCCTGGGGCCAAACCCGGGCTGAGCCTTGGCCTCAGCTAATGCTGAGCCTGTGGGCAGATGTGGAAACTGGTGTGCCGGCTCAGGGGCCACATAGGTGGTGGGTAAACCAGTTTGGGTTTGGAAAAGCCAGGAGGAGGCAATGGCCAGGAAGAAAAAGGCCTGGTCTATGAGCCCTGCACCCTCCCTGGCAACTTCTCCCACTCCCATAGGTGTTGGCCCAGGGGATAGTCAAAGTCACTGCCCTTGGGTTTGACCGATATACGCCCCCCAACCCGCCCCCCCCAAAAAGACTCACACGTTTGAGCAAGCAAGATGCCATAGGCTGGGGTGGACGGAGCTGCCTATGTTCTGCAGGGAGAGGAAGGTTTGGACTGAGCAGTGACCTCTGAGTGTCCACGGAGGGGGTGGGGCCTTGGTGCGTCAGGCCTGCTCCTCAGGGTTCCCTAAGCCCTGGGCCCCGCTCTAGCGCTGAGAGGCCCCGGGACCCTGACGGAGCACCTCCGCAGCCCACCTCCTGCCTTTGGGGTCTCTTCCTCCCTCTGGAGCCTGAGGAAGGGGAGTCGGCAGGCTATGTGAGTCTTTATGTGGCTGAAGGTGTCTGTGAGGAAGTGAGTGTCCAGGTCATCCCGTGTGTCTGCGACTGTGGAAGGCCCAGGTGTAAGCTTGGCGTCTTCCTTCTTGTGGTACCGGGTAGGCAGACTCGGCCTGTGCCGGGGATCTGGGAGTGTGTTGGTTTTGGGGGGGGTGGGGCGGTGCGGCTCCCATTCTGTATTCCACGGAGCAGACACTGCGGCCCTGGGAATGGTAAATAATGATTAGAATAATGATGAATAATTAATGATTTAATAACCAGTCCCAGTGGGATGGGAACGGAGGGAAGGGGCCGGCGGTGTGACTGCAGCAGAGCAGGGACTGGGATCCGAGGCAGACCCCTCCATGGTGGGGGACCAGGTGCGCTCCGCCGGGAAATTAGAGCCTGGAGGCCAGCGAAACAGTCCCCCTTCCTAGTGGTGCGGCGGGCGCAGACACTCGTGCCCCAGCACCTCAGGAAAGCTGGCTGAGGAATCCCGAGCCAGCTTGGAATCCTAGAAGTAACCTGAAAGCTGATGTTTTCTGGCACGAGAAGTGCAAGTCTATATAACATCTTCTGTACACAGAACATGGTTCTGAACTCGCTTCGCGAGGAGTTTCTCATTTGGTCTTAACCACCTGGTGCGGTAGTTTCCATTGCTCTAGTACAGGCCCAGAGATGTGACGCGTGTGCCCGAGTCAAGCCTGAGGGGCTCTCCTCCTGGTCTCCTAGCTCAGGGCTTCTCAATGCTCCGAAGGCTGCAATACTTCTAACAGTTCCTGGTGTTGTGGTGACCCCGGCCATGAAAGTATTTTGTTGCTAGTTCACAGCCGCCACTGTTACAAATGAAAGTAATTATCTGTTGTGCAGGGTGTATGAGAGCCGACCCCAAGGTCGGTGCTGACCCACAGGTCGCGCGCGCCGCTGTTGGGTCCCACCCTCCCCAAGTACCTAAGCCATCCTTGCTCCAGCAGCCGTCCAGCTCGGCCCCCCGGGGTCAGCCCGGCTCTTCGCAGGGCGTAAGGGGTGTGGGTCTGTTTTCTGCCCCACCTCCCCAGGTGCGGGCCAGCGCCATTGCTCAGGATGCGGATCAGAACTATGACTACGCCAGCAACAGCGTCATCCTGCACCTGGACGTGGGCGACGAGGTCTTCATCAAGCTGGACGGCGGGAAGGTGCATGGCGGCAACACCAACAAATACAGCACCTTCTCGGGATTCATCATCTACCCGGACTGAGCCGGCACCTCCTCGCGCGCCCGCACGCCCCTTGACCCCTCGCTCTAACCCACGCCCACCTCCAGCCTGCCCCACCCAAGACCCCATCCTCTGAGCGCCTGCGGACTCGGCCCTTCCCGGGCCACCTAAAGGGCGGGGGGGGGGGGGGGGGCGGGATTCTTGGGGCTCCAGGGTTTTAAGCGGCTGGGGGAGTGGAGAGGTGGGAAGACCGGATGGAGAGAGCCGCTTAGGGAGGGACCCCTCGCCTGTGCTCCCACCAAACCGGGGCCAGAGAGGGAGAGGCAGAGGTCACGTTCCTCCCTGCTGCCTGGAGCTGGGGAACAGTTTCACTAAGAGACATTGGTGACTCAGAGAGGAAAGGGGCCGTCCTGGCAGCTTGGGAGGGAAAGGACAGAAGCCAGGAGCCTCTAGGTGAGAGGGTAGCCCTGGCCTTCGGTAGCCGCTTTCTTTCCCTTCTCCTCCATCTCCATCTTCCAGGCTCCAGCCACAGGCGGCCTTGCTGTCTAACATTTAAAGCCCATTTTGTACAGTCCCCATTTCAGCCCTCTCCAGGCTAGGTCCTGGAGAGACGGATACTGTTATTTCTTCCAATAAAGTGAGGTTGGGGGTCGTGCGCCTGCCTGTCTTGGTGCAGAGGAGGGGGAGGGGAGGAGAGTGGTCTGCCCTTGGCCTGACAGGAGTCCCACCCTGCCTGCCAATCACTGCTGGTTGATCTATGCAGCTAAACCCGGCTGGGCCTGCTTCTCCAGAGGGAAGTGCGGATTTCAGCTTTGATGTGAGAAGGAGCAGAGGGGAGGATCCCCTCAGGCGCAGGGGGAGTGTGCAGGGTTCTAAAGGTGTAGGTTTGGTGTGCCGGCACGAGAATTCTTTTTCTTCCTTTGTGTTTTTTTTTTTTTTTTGTGAGACAGGGTGTCTCTGTGTACCGCCGGCTTGTAGACCAGGCTGGCTTTGAACTCACAGAGATCCACCTGCCTCTGCCTCCCTGAGTGCCACCACGCCTGGCTCTTTTCCTTCCTTTTTGGTTTGGTTGTGGTCTTCCTTTTTCTGTTTTTGAGATGGGCCACAGCTTTTTGCCCAATTCCTGGGTTCAAGTGATCCTCCTGCCTTGCCCAGCTGAGAGTTCCCCCAGAGGTACTCCAGACGAGAGATTAGCTGGCAGCCCCCGAGCAGAGCTGCTCTCAGAACAGGTTCCACGATTGTCCCTAACCCACGCGAGAACTAGCTGAAGTGGGCTGGATGGCCACTTTCAGGACAGCTGCTGCAGAGGACGCCGGGGCCTGGGTGCCTAGTCCCCTGTACACTGGCACACAGTGCCACCGTGTGGGCCACTGGAGAGCAGCAGCAGTAGCCGCCCTATTCAAACACTTGGAACGCACAGTAACTTTATTAAAGGATAAAAGGGTGGTGGCTCCCAGGCCAATGGGCAGATCAACAATAAATAAGGCTAAGAGGAGGGTTAATGCAGCAGAGCAGAAGCCCGGTGGAGGCCGCGGTCATGATGGAGAGTCCTGGGGGAGCACCGAACCAACTGGAATGAAACACTGGAGAAAAAAGAGAGGCCTTGTCACAGGCTGCCGCTCCTCCACAGAGGGAGCAGGGTCAGCCCCACCGCTGTCCTGTCGTTGTACAGTCTGGTCAGGCTGTATCCTGGAGGCTCACCAGGGCATCCTGCCATTCAAGCGTCGTGGCCACAGGGTTGGAGCAGACCCGGGCGGGCCCCGGAGGTGGGGTTCGGCTAGTGTAGAAGGCACACTCATCATCCAGGCGAGACTCACGGAAGCAGTGGATGGCGGTGAGACACGCTCTGAGGTGCTGCCTCAGAGCCAGGGATCGAGGGACCAGACGGCTGGGGCCTGAAGGCCATGGAGAATTCAGAGGGTCCTCTGGAGTCATATTCCCTCCTGCTGCTGGCCCTCCCCCCCATGCCTCAATGAGTCAGAAGCCAGTTAGAAGCTCGTGCGGGGGGTGGTGGGGGGGTGGGGAGCAGGCAGGGCGGAAAGAAAGCATGACATGGCCCGGGACAAGGCAGGACCCACTCCCAGAGACAGACCTTTTTCTTCATGGCCTTCCCCAGCCGATTCCTTACCTGAATGGCCTGTCGGGGACCTCAAAGCCTGCAGTGAGCGGATAGGGGGACTGGCACAGAGCGGGCTTTGTGACGAGAAGGTCAACCTGGTGGTTGCCGGAGGCCCCTGACTGCAGCAGGGCTGTGGGCTGGACTCTGGGTTCCTAGCTTCCACAGCACAGCCTGCCGATGCTCCCAGCTCTACCCTAGGGCAGGCCTCAGGGGGCCCAGACTGTCCCTGGCAACTAGGCAGAAGCGGTCCAGGCAGTGCTGGAAGGCAAGGCTCTGGTGGCTGTGGCCCAGCTCTCCCAAACGGCCCTGGGGGCTTGGATTCTGTGGAGGAGCGATCCTGAGCCACCTGAGCCTCCTCCCCTGGGCAGGCCTGCAGCTCCCCGTGATCCTCTGCAAGGAGGGGCTCTGTCACACCAAAGGGTTTTGACAGTCCAAGAAGAGAAGTTCCAGAGTTGTGTCCTGGGGCACTCAGAGTTCCAGCAACTTCGGCCATCAGGGGCTGAAGTTCGGTCATGTCTAGAGCAGAGCCTCCGTTCGGAGGGGCACACGTGTCTACCGCCAGCCCCTCTACCTCCTGTCGCAAGAGCTGCTGCAGAATACCGATGCGCTGTGGTGGGGGAGAGGACCCTGGTGTGTCATTGGTGTGTGTCCACAAGGCCTCCCCACACCCTACCTCTCCTCAGCTCCCCCTTCCCCAGTGTCCTTCCCATGTGGGTGCCACTGAAGCCACCCACCTGCATCTTTAGCTCCTGCTGGTTCGGGATCCTGTTGGGGTGAGGTCCAGAGGTGCCCGTCACAGGCGGTTTCCCAGAGCCCTTCTGCAGTGCGATGCAGCTCTCCTGGTCAAACAACCTTACAGCAATCTTCTCCTGCCACACAGAAGGACAGGGAGTGGGTGAGGGAGACAGAGCAAGGTGGGAGAATGCTCTTCTCACCCTCTTGAGGAATGGATCAAAGCTTCCTGGCAGCTCTTTTAAAAACCAGGTATGGTGGTGCAGGCCTAGAGCTGATATGGCAGGAAAATGAAAGGTTTGAGGCCCAGGATGTGGACACACACACACACACACACACACAAATGCACACACTAAAGGAATATTACTTCTGAAACCAGCAGAAGGGGTTGGGGATTTAGCTCAGTGATAGAGCACTTGCCTAGCAAGCACAAGGCCCTGGGTTCAGTCCTCAGCTCTGGGAAAAAAAAAAAAAAAAAAGAGAAAGAAAGAAAAGAAAAGAAAGAAAGAAAGAAGGAAGGAAGGAAGAAAGAAAAAAAGAAAGAAAGAAAGAAAGAAAGAAAGAAAGAAAGAAAGAAAGAAAGAAACCAGCAGAAGATAGCGACAGAGACAGACAGACATTCTAAACATAGACTGGGAAGGACAGATAGAGAGGTAAGTACACCTACCTTAGATCATAAGGCTGCCAGCCCTCCAGGCTAGCGGACCGCACCACAGACCTCAGTACAGGAAGGCTTTGACACTTACCCAGGGCAGGGCAGGTTCTTCAGGGGAGGGCTGAGGGGAGAGGCCACTGAGACGCTGGGCCTGGACAGGACAGATCGCCCATGAGTAAGACTCATTCCATCCAGTGCCTGCCCACCCCATCCTGTACCTACCTGCCCCTTTGTCCCCCTAATCCAGTGCCTGCCTGTCCCTTGTCCCCCCAATCCAGTGTCTACGTGACCCTCTCCCCCAGTCCAGTGCCTGCCTGTCCGTCTCTCATCCTCCAAGCCCAATCAGTTACCTCCTCTGCCATCTCTTACCTGTTGAACTCTGGGTACCGATCGGAGGGGTGTGAGCTGGGTTTGGGTTTTTGATCGAAGGGCGAAACGTTTCAAGGATGAGTATGAGGTCTGGGGAGAGATGTGGCTGGCTGAGAGGGGCTCTCTAGCATGACTCTCCTGAACCTGCCCAGCCCAGGAGTTGCTGACACAAACCCAAGCTGAGCGGCCTGGGGACCCCCTGGGCCTGTCTAAAAGGTGAGGGTTGAGCTACAGGGACAGGAGAGGGCATCAGATGGAAGTCATGACTGCCCCATGAGGAAAAAGGCAGGAGTGGCCTTTCGGGATTTACTTTCCTGTCTTATTCTTCTTGTTCTCCCCATAATAGCCATTACTTCCCCCCACCCGCCCTCTTTTTACAAAGTTAGGGTCTCATGTAGCCAAGAGGCTGGCTCGGAACTTCTGATCCCCTTGCCTCTACCTCCCAAAGCTGGGGTTACAGTATGTGCCACCATGTGCAGTGTTTGCATGGCTCTTTTATTTTTTAAGAGTTAGTTATTTACTATGTATCCAATGTTCTGTCTCATTAGAGATGGTTGTGAGCCACCATGTGGGTTGCTGGGAGTTGAACTCAGGTCCTCTGGAAGAGCAGACAGTGCTCTTAACCTCTGAGCCATCTTTCCAGCCCCTTGCATGTTTCTTTCACGAGAGAAATCAACTATTGCTTCCTATTCACACTTTTCCCCCTTGGCTTTCCATTCAGACCAAGAGAGAACCAAGCACTCGCACTGGCTTGTATGTCCTTAGCCAGCTTCACCTGTTGTTACTGTACAGGCATCTCGGAGCCTCCTCTTGTCTAGGCTACAGTCTTACTGATCTGTTTTGCCGGCTAGCAAACCCTGGGTGTATTCTCCCCTCACGGCCTTCACATCTGCAACCGCGTGGGTAAATATCTCTACAGTCTCCCCCTAGCTCAGTCTCAACTCCTGGTCTTTATTTAATCCTCATCTTCTCAATGACAGTGCCCTGGTACTTATCATCTTTAAAAACATTTTAAAATTTATGTGTAGGTGCGTTAGGTGCCCATGAAAGCCAGAGCAGGGCATCAGATCCCCTGGCGGGAATAACAGTTATAGGTTGGCCGGTGTGAGCTAAGTTACCAGCCTAAACACTCATCTACCCTCCACACACTCACACCTGTCATTTTTAAAAAGGCAGGATCTTGCTGTGTAGCCCAGGCTGTCCTGGAATCCATGGAGCAGTACAGCCTGTCCTCCTCCTCCTGCCTCCAGAATGCTGGGTTACAGTCATGCACCACACCATGCTAAGCCACCAACTTATGGCACCAATCCCCACTCCCAGATCCTTTCTTTAGCGCCTTTAGGTACTTAGTTTTAGAGAGCACATCACCCACCTGTCATCCTATACGTTTTACTTTTGCATCTTTATTTATTTATTTTGCCTCCCTCTTCTAGAGCATGCATATTCTGGACCTAGAACCCTGTCGGCATTCAAAAGCCAGTCAGTAAATAGTTGTGGAATGAAGAAGTTAATATTTTTGGTTGGTAAGTATTGGCTGTGTCCCAGCCTCAGCACTGAGTTGATAGTGACACACACACCAGTCTGTCACTTCTCACTCCAGGCCCCAGAGACGGAATGAAGAGAGTCAGATCCACTCTGAAGAGGGCTTGGTCCCAACTCCAACAAACTAAGACTAGATAACAGCCCGAGTTCCAGGTCTGCCAAATCTACCCACAGTCCTCAGTGCTCCTCCTGAACACCCCACCCCGTCCCCGGAGGCTGTCGGCTTACCCTGGCCTGCGTCAGACTCTGCCTTAATGGTACTCTTTGAGCCAGACCCCGGAGGCCTCTTCCTTTTTCATCTGAGTGAGGGACAGCCTCGTGCTCTCCTTCGAGGGGTACGGAAGCTGGGAGGAGACAAGACATTGCAGTATTATCTAGAACACCAGAGTCTACCCATTTGGCACACACCCCTCGAGCCCAATAATGCCTTGGCAAACACTTATCAATCCAAATGCCCTGAGTGGGCTGGAGATGGCCATGGCTCATAAGGGGGTAAGACAGAACACAGTGGAAATTCAGTCTCGCAGGAAATGGCAGGGAGAAGGCAGAAGGAGACACAGGTACAAGGAGGCCAACCTCCAGGTCTTGTCTGTTCTGTGAGTATCGGTGTGTATATGGGTGTGAATGCCGGGCAAGCACTTAGTCTACCACTAAGCCAGCCCCTCTGGCTTCTTCCTTACCCTGCTCCTCCTCAAGGCCTGCTGACCTTTTTCTGGTCTTGCTCCTGGAGTGGGCAATTCACTCACCCTTGCTTTCTTCCTACATCCAGACAAACTCACCAGGCTCAACTGGGGTCTTCGGGAGCAGTCTTGAGGCCTGGCTTGCTGGAGTCCTGCTGATGGTACAACAGCCGCCGCTGGGTGTCAAGCAGGGGCTGGGCAATTGCTAAGAGCTTTATAAACACCATCTCGCTGCATTTCCACAACAGCCTCTAATGCTACAAATGTTATCCTCGCTTGGCTGATACAGAAGCAGAAACTCAGACAGGTTAAGGCGAGCTTGCACAACCAGAAGAGGTAAGGGTCAGGAAGGAAACTCAAAATGCATTTATTGTCAGTTCACGGTGTAGCCAAAAGAAACAGCGTTTCACACTGTTCCCTCTGTTCCTCCATGTGGTAGAGAAGGCCTGGCTATAAAAGACTGAACCCTGTCCCCAGGGCTTGTGCTGCCCAGTGACACGGTTTCCCCATCCCCTCCAGGGTTGGAAGAGAATCTACCCCTCTCCCTACCTGCCGCTGCCACTCGTCTCTCTTCTCAGCTCCTGTAAACTGGGGCGAGTGGAGGGGTGGAAGGAGGGGCCTGCAGGTGGATTCTGATGCAGAGCAAGACACGAAAGCAGAGTGAGACGTGGTCCCCGAGGTAGACGCAAACACCAACCCACCTCTTTCAACAGAGATCCGCCCATCTTGAGATACTGTCCCAGGGCCCACTTTGCTCCTGAGTGTCAGCCCCTCAAGGGTACTCACCAAAGACTCGAAACCCTGGGTGCACACAGTGCGGTCTCGGGGTCCTGGTCCCTCCAGCCTTGAGAAGCAGGAAGCCCTAGCAGGATCCAGCTGATGGAGGGGGGCCCTGGGAGCCAGGTACGCGGAACACCGTGCACTCTGGGAAGCCAACAGAGGTGGTCAGCAGGAGCTCAGCATTCCGCAGAGCCCACGCCACAGCCTGGTCTCATCCTTCTCATTACCTGGCCCCTCCGCGTGGTGCCTCCCTTGCTCCCTCGAACTAGTACTCTCTGAGCCAGACTGGACCGGAACCCCAGGGGACAGCTCTTCACCCCCTCACCTGACAGGATGGTGGCCAGGGCTGCAGGGTCAGCAACAAACTCTATAGCCCCTGTGGCCTCTGGAAGGGAAGAGACAGCGTTAGAAGGAACAGCAACACGGGGTGCCGAGGGGTAGCTGACCCCAGCAACAGTGAGCAAAAGCAACACAAGCCAGGCTTTGTGGTGGATGGCTGTGACCCCAGCATTCAGGGTACCAGGCAGAACCAGGTGTTCACAGCCGCCGCAGCATGGAGAGTGCAAAGCCGGCCTGGGCTACATAAGACCTTGAGAGATGGGAAGAGAGGGATGGGGGAGGAGAACCTAGATCACCAAATGTTTGAAGAATTTCATGCAAGCCATTGGGGAAAAAGATAAACACGTTCTTGTCTTACAGAAGATATCCCTGGGGGCCGGAGAGGTGGCTTAGTGGTTAAGAGCACACAAACAGGGTTCTTACATAGGACCTGGGTTCGGTTCCCAGCCGAACCATGTCAGGAGGCCTGTACCACCAGGGCAATCCAATGTCTCTGGCCTCCATAAGCACCTGTACTCACACTCACACACAAACAATTAAAGATAATCTTTTTTTAGGGGCTGGAGAGATGGCTCAGTGGTTAAGAGCACTGGCTGCTCTTCAGGGAGACCTGAGTTCTATTTCTGACACCCACATGGCAGCTCTCAGCTGGCTATAACTCTAACCCTAAGGTATCCAATGCCCTGTTACGAACTTCGTGGCCACTGTATTCATGTGGACTCACATAAAATAAAAAGAAATCCTAAAAAAAAAAAAAAAAAAAATCTATTATTGAAAAGGAAGAAATATGGACAGATCATAAAGAACTAGCACAACCCTGAGCAAATGACCATGCCATGCCATGCTGGGGGTTGTTGGAAGAGCTCCAGGAGAGGTGACAGGGTCTCACTGTGTAGCCCGGGCTGGCCTCAAATTCACCATGTAGCCAGGATGTCCTCAGATTCACAGACAGCACCTGCCTCTGTCTCCTAAAGTGCTGGGGTTAGAGGCTTGGGCCACCGTGACAGGCAGGGGATGAATCTTGCTGACGTAAGATGCCTTCATAGAGCGAAGAGCTTTCAGGACAGCGTGCAAAGCCCCGCTTTGCCTTCCCCGTTCTCGCTCAGCCAAGTGGGTTATCCCCAGGCCCCAACAGGTACCTGTCTCGGGATGGGTCACAAGCCCCACATTTGATCCCCCAGAGCTAGGCTTGAGTTCCTCCAAAGGGTGCCGGGGCTGGGTGACCCCCAGTCTTTGTGATTTTTCTGTCTGGTGGAAGGTTTTCGGTCTGAAGCCTGCTGTGTCAGTGAGCGGATGCTGAGTACGTAGCGGTGGCTTCTGTGAGGAGGATGACAACAAAAAGCTGAAATTCAGCGCCGGGGGTGGGGGAGCGGCGAGGGTGCATTGCTGACGTGAGCTGCCTCCTCGACGTTACTCTCATCACACACCACAGCCCTCTTACCCTCGGATCTTGGTTCTCCTGGTCCAGAGAGGACGCCTTGGCCGAGGAAAAATCTGGGCATCTTTGAGAGAGTACTGGAATCTTGCTAGGGGTGGGAGTTGCTCCTCCTCGGAGCTGGGGATCCTTCCTGGTGTGGAGGGTAGTCATGGCGGCTACAGTGGAGACGGGAGAAGAAAGCAGGCAGGGCTGAGGACCAAAGCAAATCACTTCTCAAGCCATGGGTGCTGATATTCCCGATTCTTCCACCTCGGCCCCAATCCACGTGCCTAGAAGCCCTCACCGGCTGCCAGGCCACTGCCCGGCTGATTCCTCCCAGACGCCCCAAGGCTGCGGCCTCGCCCCGGAACTCCAAGCTGCTCTACTCCCTAGTAACCTCGGCAGGACTCGTCCCTCTACGACCCCAGCGCCGCACCTTTCCAGGAGCCCCTCGGGGGTCACCTCCACTTTCTCGGCTCCTTCGCCGATTTTCTGGATTTCTGCTGCTGCTGCTTCCCCAGTTTGTAAAATACGCCAAGCTTGTGATTGGCTAGCTCCCGCTGACGCGAAGGCGCGTGACGTCACACGCAGCCGCCCAATCCGCAGGCTCCGGGGGCGGGGCCAGAGAGGGACAAGTTGTGAAACCGCTTTCTGGCTGGGAAAAAAAACTGACCAGCTTTGCCAGCCAATCCGGGAGCGGAGCGCGAGTAGCAGGACTGGGGGACGCCAGGGAGAATGCGGTTCTGCTACCCGGGAAGGCGAGGCTGGGCTGCAACGGGCATTACCGTATTCTCGCGAGATCTGGAGACAGCCCAGGGCAGACCCGTCCCTGAAGGGCCGCGGAATTGTGGGAAGGGATGGTCACCGACAATCCCACTGGCCACACTCTGAACGTAGTGCTTAGCCGGGTTTTCGGGACCATTCCAGGGAGCATGGCCACTTCTTGCAGGAGATGAGGAACTGCACCCAACGGGCAAGAGGGCTGGAGGTCATTGAACCGAGCCCAGTAAGAACGAGGAGCCAAGAAGCCTTTGTCCGCTTGGACCTCACCACCTGGAGGGGTGTGGCTAGATGCAGTGTGGCTGGAGCTCTGTTAACCAGCATTGATGGGCTCCTGTGTGGGGCTCTCCGCATCTTCAGGTTGCCTTTCCCTGGTCTGGAGAGGGCTCACCTGCTAGTCACTGGCACACAGGTGTGAGGCTGCGAGATGGAGGGTGAGGGCAGTGTCTCACCCCCACCCGCTCACACAAGCTATCTTTCTCTCCCAGACTGGCCTCAAACTCGCAGCTTCCTGTTGGAGCTTCCCAAGGGCTGGGATTGCACGAGCCCTTCATGGACAACAGTTTGACGTTTAAAGGATGCTGACATACAAGCCGGGGACAGGCGTTATTCATCAACTGCTTCTGGATCTGGTTAGCCAGCCGACTTAAGAGGGCAGGCAGAAGCAGGCAGTTCTCTGTGAGTTCCTAGGTCATCAAGTTACCGTTTCCTCTTGCCCATTCTTCCTAAATATTCCCCACCTACTACCCCTTTCCTTCTTAAACAAACGGGCAAACAAAACAAAACCAGAACAGAAAAGAAAAAAATCACAAGAATCACACACACACAAACTAAAGCCCATAAAAACACAAAGTTGGAAGCCATTAATATACAAGCAAAAGACCAATAGGACAAAATATGCCCAAAGCCATAGGAGACAAGAAACCTACAGAAACACCGTTGAGTTAGCTCTGGGCACCTACTGCTGGTGAGGGCCCACCCTTAAACGTGGTCAGCATACCCAGTGAGACTCCATCGGGGAGAACGAAATTTTCCTTTGCAAGCAGTTGTCAGTTGGAGGTAGCTTTTTGGTTAGGGATTGGGTCCACCCCTCGGGCTGGGACCCAGTGTGGCTTGAACCTGTGCAGGCCCTGTGCGTGTTGCCCCGGTCTCTGTGAGTTCACACTGCATCGGTCCTGTTGTGCCTGGGAGACAGTGCTTCCTTGGAGTCATCCATCCCCTCTGGCTCTTGTAATTTTTCTGCCTTCTCTTCTGAACAGTTCCTTGAGCCCTGAGGGGAGGAGCCCCCAGTCTGTCTATCCACACAAATCCATCCTCACAGTAGCTAGAGAAATCTTCCAAAATGCAAGTCTGGTAACTGTTGTGCCTCGGCTGTCTGCACACTGAAACCTGCATTCTGTGCCGTGCCACTCTGCCCTCTTGCTCTCTACCTTCTGTGAAGAATTCTCGAAATGAAGCTGTGTCCACAAAGGCTGATTAAAACTTCAGTGACTGAAGCAGTTGGAATGCTACAGTTCAGAAGCTAATTACAATTTATCTTGGGCCATTTTTAGCCCCCAAAGAACCATTTCTTGCCCACCTCTTGTGATGAGCCTACTATCCCGACTACATCCAGCAGGGCGTGGTGGCGCACACCTTTGATCCCAGCACGCAGGAGGCAGAGGCAGCTGGATCTCTGTGAGTTTGAGGCCAGCCTGGTCTACAGAATGAGTCCAGGACAGTCAGAGCTACACAAAAAAAACCTGGTCTCAAAAAACCTGAAAAAATTTTAAAACTACCTTTTCTGATAGTGACAAGGTGACCCGCTATTTCAGTGGCTCTCAACCTTCCTAATTCTGCGACCCTTTAAGACAGTTCCTGACCAGTCTATCCCAGTGGTGCAAGCTTTAAATCCCAGCACTCAGGAGGCAGAGGCAGGTAGATCTCTGAGTTCAAGGCCAGCCTGGTCTACTTAGTTCCAGCTCAGCCTGGGCTTCGGAGTGAGATTCTGACTCAAAAAAAAAAAAAGAAAGAAAAAAGAAAAAATACAGTTCCTGACATCATGGTGAGCCCAACCACAGAATTATTTCATTGCTACTTGGTAAGTAATTTTTGCTACTGTTATGAATTGCAATGTGCACAGCTGATGTGCGGGATAATCATATGGTGCTCCTGACGGGGTCACGACCCAAGGTTGAGAAGTGCTCTTCTGTTTCATTTGCTTTCTCGTCCTCAGTTGTTCTGCATGGGTGTTTGGAGCCCTGAGTCTTTGCTGAACGAGCCAATGAATACATGAGTAAATGGTCGAATGCTTGCACGGGGAAGAGGGAAACCCTGTAGGAAGGGATACGCTAGCTCCTGGAAGGCAAAGGCAAAAGTATGGTGTGTGAAGGATAGCCGGACCTCGAGGAGAGATCCTGTCTCAAAACTGAGGGGTTGAAGAGAGTCAGTGAAGTGCTCGCCATGAGGACCTGAGCTCTACCCCTAGGGCCCTCATAAACAGTTAGGTGTGGTGACTCATGCTGTGGCCCTACTGCTGAGGAGGCCTAGGAAGAGAGACCTCTGGGCCTTGCCGGTCAGGCGGCTTAACCTACTCATTGAGACTGGGGTTCTGACGAGACTGTTAAAACAACAACAACAAAAACCACAGGCCGGGGAAATGGCTCAACGGTTAAAAGCTCACTCTCTGCTCCCGAAGGATCTGTGTTTGCTTCTTAGCGCCCACATTAGCTGCTCACATCTACCTGTAACTACAGGGGATCTGCCACTCTCTTCTGGCCTAGTGGGTACCTACATATGTGCCATGCATACACACACACACACACACACACACACACACACACACACTCTTAAAGAAAAACAAGCTGAAGACCGACACTGGAGGTTGACATCTGGCCTCTACTGGTATATGCACACTTGGGCAACTTGCACACAGACACAGCTTAAAGGGACTCTAGCCAGCTTCAGCATGGCAAACATGGCCTTGCAGACCCTGCCCTTTCCCCCAATTCCCTCTGCCTTGCCAAACTGTTAGGTTACATTCCTAAAGCCAGCCCCCAGGGTCTGTCCCCTTATTTGGTCACTTTCTTCTCCTGAGGCTGACTACCAAGGTCCAGCTATCAAAGTATTGAAGTTCAGGATTAAAGGTCCCCTTTGGCTCACCTAACAAGGGGTTCCCCCTTTTACCTTTATAAACTGCCGTTTTCCTATGGACCAAGTCTGTCTCCTCTTTACCCAGGGGCAGTCCTCTCCTATGACACTCCTCCACCCACCCCTGTGACAAATAGTCTTTTTTTCCCCTTTTCCCCTTCTCCCTCATCCTCTATCTCCTATTTTCACCTCTTATTCCCTGCTCTTTATCCCTTTGGGGCAAATAAATCTCCTTTGTGCTAAGTACTTGGTCTTGGGATACCTTGTCAGTACAGTGCCCTTACACGCACACCCCCCCGGGGGAGGTACCAGTGCTCAGGCGATTTCTGCAGGGAGACCTATCAATGTCCAGTCAATTTTCTTTTTAGGGTTTGTTTGTTTTCTTGCAGTGCTGCAGATCAAAGCTAGGGCCAAGTGATTGCTGGGCAAGAGCTCTGCCACTGAGTTGGTTACACCCCATCTCTAACTCATGCACCCTAAACATTGTAACTCTTTTCTTTGTGGAAGAATGTAATTGATTTTCTATCAAGCAATCTTTCTCCTGTCTTCATTTTGTTTTGTTGAGACAAGGTTTCTCTTTATATACCCTGTCCTGGCACTTGCTATGTAGTCCCAGCTGGCCTCAAAACTCACGTGTATCCACCTGCCTCCGCCTCCTGAAAGCAGGGATTAAAGATGCAAGACACCTCAGGCAGCTTTAAGTGCGGATGTTAATGAGCTCCTGGTTTGTCTATTGGTTCTATTGGGTCAGAAGGTATCCGATGCTCTCTTCTGAACTCCATGGGCACTGCGTTCACGTGAACACACAAAATAAAATCTGCAGGTCCCCGATCACCTGTGTTCCTGTCCTGACTTCCTTTGGGGATGAACTGTGATGTGGAAGCATAAGCTAGGCAAACCCTTTCCTCTCCAGGTTTCTTTGGTCACAGTGTTTCCTCACATAGGAACTCTAACTAAGACAAGTTGGTACCAGGATAGTGGGGATGTTGCTGTGACAGACCTGACCTTGCTGGTTTTGCGAGGATTGTGGCAGGGCTCTGGAACTTTGCCTTAGAAAATCCACTGAGTGTTGAGAGTTCAGTGAGCTCCGTTCCGTGGGAGTTTGGATGCTGAGAATGTTGAGAGCCGTGCAGCCGACGGAGGCCTGGCTTGTGAAGCTCTGGAGGGAAGCAAGGACTCTAGCAGATCATTTTTGTGATGAATCTGTGATAGCTGGTCAGCTGGGGCTAAAGAATCAGCTGTGATTAATAAGAGACCACTGGAACCATTAAAGAAAAACCTTTGCTGTACCAGACAACTGATGCCAGTAAGCTGTAGCTGAGAAATCAACAGTGATCAAGAAGGGACCAGCATCATTGAGGTGAAATCTTCTGGGAAGTGTTTCCTGAGAAGGCACAGAAACTGTATTCTAGAGGCGGCCAAGGCTGTGTCTCATGCTGGCAGCTGGCCCTGGTAATGTGTAAGAGTCACCCAGGTGGTACCAGCTTTGAAGGGGTGATGGAGAGCAGCTGAGGCTTAGCACTGTGAGTGGCTGGATGAAGGTGCAGCCTGAGCATCCTCTGAAGGCCCAGGACTGAAGGGGTCACACAGAGAAGTTG